AAAAAAAAAAAAGAAACGAAGATCAATTCGGTGATCGATCGCCGAGATTTCCGTCACGGGAAAGCACGATTCGAAGGAGACTTCGCTTGTTAGTGGTCGGATGTCGTTCCACGACTATTTGTAATTCAAAGGCCGACTGACACGCTTTCGCTGTAAATCGTTTCTTCGCTAAGTACGATAACTCGTTCGGACTCATTGGGACTCGAGAAGGGAGTTTCCCATTTGAATAGGAAATGCTCGCGTATTTTTAGAAATATTTATCATCGGGTTGAGTCGTAAATAATGTCCAACTTCGTTTATCAGTGAAACAAACAACAATTACATCATAGTCTATTCGCCTATTTGTTACTTGCGATTATTTATTGACATTTCTCACATTCTCTTCTAATCAAAAGTGACACCATTTATAGTCAAAATTACGCGTGGCATCGTAGCTTTCACAGTTTTTACATCACTGGAATATTTCGCAACTATCTTACGAACGTCGTTCGTTCTTTCGAGAGATCTTGTCGTTCATCAAAGATGCAGCTGCGAAATATAAATTGCGAATAGCGACAAACGAAGCGGGCTACGTCGATGCTCATTAATCGAATGAACCAACGGCTGATTGGCTTCTGATTTAATTACCAACCTACCTGTGATCCGTGAATCTCCGGCCCTAGCGGCCATGGCTATTTAATGGGGTTATCAGCGAGATTATTATTGTTGTTTACTGCTAACAAGCTCCGTTCATGGCGACCGGTTACAAAACGCAAGCCGCTCGGCCGGAGAATTCCCTGTCTGGTTCTAGCGCAATTAACAAATTGCCTGTTAGGGATTATCTTCAACCGGCGAACGAACGACGCGCACGCCGAGATGTGTATTGTACGATATATACTCGATATATTCGCTCCGTGAATCGGCTAGCAAATATTCATTCAGCGAAAACGATACTGACGATAATTCCTGTTGCAATTGTTGCTGAATTTTCTTCTCCCTCGGAGGAGAATCGCATTGAAGAATCACTTTTACAAACGAATTTCAAAAGAGTGCAATTAATTTCTTTTCGATCT